TTATAAGCAAAAGAAATATTTAGGGGCCAACCCTTGAACTCCTTAATGGGGACGCTTAAAAAAAAATGAAAGGTTGCATATTGTTCAGAACATGATTTTGAACATCTTTTTCAATATTGCTTATCAAAATATTTCTCCCAAGAGTTATTGAAAAAAGATTTTTAGCCCCTTTTGGCCCCTAATTTGAGTACCCAGCCCCTTTTCCTGGATTTCAGTTTAAAGCTCTTAAAATTTTGAACACTTTTTGTTCAACAACTATTCAGAGATTCTTTTTTGTTTTCGAGTTATTTGGAAAAGAAATATTAAGGGGCCAACCCTTTAACTCCCTAATGGGGACGTTTAGCAAAAAATGCAAGGTTGCATATTGTTCAGAACATGATTTTGAACATCTTTTGTTTAATATTACTTGTCAAAATATTTCTCACTTACGAGATATAAAGCATCATAGATTTAGCATTCTGGCCCCTTGTGGCCCCTAATTATGTACCATACGACATTAAAACCATAATATATAGTTGTAGATTGTTGAGATAAACATTTTTGCTTCATTAATGTATAACAAAATATTTACTGTAAAATAGTTATCGAAAAAAGACTTTTAGCCTTTTTTCGCCCTTAATGTGATGAGTCAGCACTTTTTTAATGGAATCATATGAAAGATCTTGTGATTCTGCACAAATATTGTTCAGTATATTCTTACAAAATATTTATACTTTAAAAGATATGATGCAAAATGTCTCCAAAAATCACTCCTGATTCGTGTCCTAAATTTTGACCCCTACCAAGCTTCCATACTAGGTACTTCCGGAAACTATCCAAAACTCCCAGTAACATGGACACATGTCCTCTATCAACACTGAAAATTTTAGCGCTCTAGCTCAAGTCGTTTCTGAGATCAATGCCGGACAAGTAGGTCCACTGAATTTTAATAAAAGGGCGATAACTCTAGACCGGAAGTGATTTTCGAAAAATCCAAAAAATGGTATAAACTTCAGATGATCCTGCATCAACCCAGAAAATTTGAAGCAAATCCATCGAGCCATCTTTGAGAAATCTTCTGCACAAAATTTGTGCAGAGAAAAAGAATAATAATAATAATAATAAGAAAATTGAAAAAGAAACATAAGAATAATAGAAGGGTCTTCCGCTGAAGACGGAAGACCCTAACTAGATAAGAAACTCGTTGCGAGCAATGAGAGGTCTTCCTTCCGATTCTGAAAAAAACCCCGCAAAATCGAGCTGAAAAAGTGATAAAACTTGATGGAAACAAAGGGGATTGAACCCGGGTCGCCAGCATGAAAATCCAAAGCGCTTACTATTACGCGGGTACCCCTATTACTCAATTGGGACCACGACTCTAAATCTACTTGAATATACTTCTGAAACAGTACATCTGTCTTAGAATAATGAAAGGCAGTCACTATTCATAATTTTGCGCCAACGCCACAAGTAAATCTTCGCGCCTTTTCTTTGGAATGTCCCATTAAATAGGTGTGATAGCTTCAATGGAAATAAAAAAGAACGTTCTTATAACTAAAATTTCAAGATAAAGAAATTGTTTTTAACACATTTACAAATTCTTTGACGTAAATAGATGCGTAACTCTAAATCAGCGGAACTGCTATAATTTTTTACTTTTAAAAAATTTTCTGTTTATCCCCATACTGAACTATCCCTGTTCGTTAAACTTTCATGAAAAGGTTGAAATGTTTCGCCGAAAAACACGTGTCGCCGTAAGACGGTAAAGGAATCAGATATCATTTATGTTCAATAACTTAAATCTATTCTTTGAGACAAGAATATTAATATAAACTCAATTCTTCTAAAAAATGGTTTTACTGTTTGTCTTTCCCATTAGTTTAATATGACTCAAGTGTGCATGAGCAAAACAGTGGATACGTTTAATACTTACTATATACATCGATATTGTTTCTTAAAACTATTATTTGTAGCTATGATTTAAGATCTGTTTTTCCGCAAAACAAATGATAGTAGGTATAAATGTATTTCATTTGCACATTTAGTCTTTTCTTTTTCTACTTTGAGAACCAGCCAAAACCAGTTACAGAAGACTTTTGAGACGACCATCGATTTAAACTTAGTTTGACACAGAATTGCAACGTAACTTCATCGTGACAATCCCCATATTCCTTTACATTTCATTTATCCTTATTTACTTTCGTTCAAGCAAACGCTTGGCTGCCTCTGAAAACCCCTATTTCGAAATGTCGGAGTTGACATAGGCAGCCGCCATATTGGACCCGCTTCAGATTTTTAAATGTTAATATCTAGAGTCAGGATTTATCAATGTTCAAACAAATTATATAGTAAGCATTTTTAGAAGGGTTTCTATTAACATTCCAAAAATGAATGAAAAATATTAAAAAACAAAAAAGTTAGAAAATACGAACTTTTTAAATTCGCTTCCGCTAGCGACCGGAAGTAATGACCACACACGAAAAGGTGATTCGTCACATCTAAAAGTCATCATCTATAATCTCTTACAAGTCTCCAGTTTATATCTTAAACCATTTTCGAAAAAAAGGGGGGACAAAATTGCATTTTAAAATCAGAAAAGTGTCAATAACTTGGAACCAAAGGTGAGTATTCCAAATTTTCCTATCCATGCCACAACTTCATATAATGACGCATAATTCCTGAAATTTTCAATTTTAATTTCCTGAAATCATTTATAGAACGATTTATTTTGAATACACGTGGTATCTCGATCTCGATGCAATATTTCGTCAGACGTATTTTTTGCCAGAGACAGAAACAATTCTGACTGTTTCACTTTGATAATTTATGCACAGAGCCGACTTCAAGTGATTTGCTATGTCAATAAGTGAGTTATGGACTCGAGTTACGGACTCGATCTCCAAAGCAAGCATCCAGCCTGTTAGAGTTGAGCATCAAGTTGAACAAGTTCCACCTTCGAGGATGAGCGAGTTCACATCTCTGTTGATCAGACTGGCACTGTCAGCTGGGCTGTCTCTCGTGTTGGGTAAAATTCTGCTTGATATGATGGACCCCACAAGGAAGCAAAAGAAGGAGGCAGAGAAGAGGGCTAAAGAATTGATGAAAAGAATTGGTGTAACTAATGTAAAGTTGACAGAATATGAGCTTTGCTTTGCGGCTGACTTGATTGAACCAGAGAGCCTTGATGTATCGTGGAGTGACATTGGGGGCCTAGATGATGTGGTCAGATCAATCCAAGAAACAGTCATTTTCCCATTCAAAAGACGAGATTTGTTTAAAGATTCATATTTAATCCAACCACCAAAGGGCCTTTTGTTACATGGACCTCCTGGGTGTGGTAAAACAATGGTTGCCAAAGCAATTGCAAAAGATGCAGGAGCCAGATTTATTAATTTCAAAATTTCATCAATGGTGGATAAATGGTATGGAGAATCACAAAAAAGAGCAGAGGCAGTCTTCTCATTGGCTATGAAATTGCAGCCAGCAATTATATTTATAGATGAAATAGATTCCTTTTTGCGGTCCAGAAGTTCCCAGGACCACGAAGCCACCGCGATGATCAAGGCTCAGTTTATGAGTATGTGGGACGGCATTATTACAGACCCTAAATGTCAGGTCATGATCATTGCAGCAACAAATCGTCCCAGTGACATCGACCCAGCCATTCTTAGAAGATTACCTTGCCAATTTAGCATTAAAAAACCAGAAAAACTTCAACGAATCAACATATTAAAACTTGTGCTGTTATTAGAAGACACAGAGGATTTAGATTATGAACAATTAGGAGAAGAAACTATGGGAATGACAGGAAGTGACCTAAAGGAAGTTTGTAGGGTAGCATCAACCAATCGAATCAGAGAGTTAATCCAGGACAACCAATCGGATAATATCTATAAAGTGAAAATAGACAGACTAAGACCTGTAATGATGAAGGATATGGCGGTTGCTATTGAAAAGGTTTCAAAGTCCAAGTCGGAAGTGTTCACAAGTTTTTCTGGGTTTCAAATGGACTGAAGATTGTTAATAAAAATGGAAACTGATTAAAATGTGTCTTTGATTAGCCAATGACAATTTGTACTCAACTTATGCAGATATCAAATTCTGGATTATCATAATACATATTATAGCAATCCATTGGTTTTAATATTCTTTAATTGAAATTTCTCCCTTTACTCTTTGTATTGTCTTAGAATACAATGTATGTATTTATATATAGTCATTAATTCTGTTTGTATCAGATAATTATTACATTTTTCGACTCTTAAAGTAAGAACATTCCAAAATATGTTTGGTTAATGTCGTGTATCAGAATTAAGGAGTAGAGCATTGATTATGTTGTGAATGCCTCAGGGCTTCATATAGCTATAAATAAGGGAAGGAAAAACACACCCTCCCTAAACACCCACCCACACACATACAAAACGCTTCTGTTATTTATGTGATATCTGTTGCTTGAAAATGTTACATAATTTTTGTTAGTGATTTATTATCATTCTGTTGAATGTTATTTTTAGTGATGGTTCTCATCTTTTAACTGATAAGTTAAAGTACAGTGTATGAGAGTTACATGTACTGAATTAAAGAAACTGGTTATAGCCAGCTTAAAGAAAACGCTATTTAAATACCTCCGATATACAAATAGAAAGAAAAGGATAGAAAGAAAAGAGAAACATCTAACTATATCGCCAGAAACTTTACTGTTGAGTTAAGCCGGCTCAGATACAATTATTCATTGTGTTAAAGTAAAGTTTAATTCATCAGTAATCGAAAATAAAGATAGAAAACATTAAAGATAAAAGAAGATAGAGAGAAGAGGATAGAAAGAATAGACGCAGTGTAAAATTGCCTGGACTATACCGATGAATTAAACCGGCTAAAATACAATTACAATTATATTGTGTTAAAGTGACGTTTAATTCAGATCACGGTGATCAAGTAGAACTTGTTGCATATCAGTCTCAGTAGTGTGTTATATTTTACTACAGTACATAGAGTATTCGTACATAGATTATTCGTAGTTGATTAACTTGTACTTTTATACATATATTACAATTTCTTGTCGGAATTCCATGAATTAAGCAAATAGTAGATCTTAAACATCCAGTCTGGCTTTGTAGCTTGCGGCAAGGGATGTCCATTTCTCTTGTAAGTTAAAGGCTGTTTATTCACAATAGGTATGATGCCAGAGGATGAATCAAAATAGGATAGTAATGTCACGTAGTTTTAATCTTCTTTTAAAGACTAGATTTTTTTGTGGAATGTCAACATATTGATACAAACGCTTGTGGTCTTTGTTACTAAATCTTCGAAAGTCTCCGAGTTTGTTCTTTAAAGAATGTTCTACTAGTTCGTGCATCCATAACGTTCCTGGAGTCTTTTCCATATCCTAAGAAGGCATTGCTCTCGGTAGGCTCTTTTTGTTCTGATGCAGACTGCAAATTTTAAGGACTCTTTTATATTTAGAATATCACTAGTAAGTCCATTCCTTCAAATATTGTAATGCTCAGTCTCTAAAACTCTTGAAACTTGATTTTCATGTGACAAATGTTTGTGGTGTTTCAATGAATTTCGAAAATCTTGATAATAACATCATTACTGAGTAGAAATCTTAAAGATCGCTAAGAAAATTCTGGTCTTTAGAATGTTTTACATTTTTACACATTCTTTTCTGATGTCTTGAAATATCACAGAATCTATGGTACCAGTATCACAATTTGAAGCCTGCTCAGCAGACACCATTATCAACTTGATCATTAATGTAACAGTATACTGTTTGCGATTTATCTGTGCATCGATATCTGATGTTTTAACAGACCCTTGTCTAGTGTCCGACTATAAGTTGTCTATTGCTTTCACTTCTGCTTCCACCAGTGCTTTTTTTCTTCTTACACGTGATGAATAGCCTCATGCTCTGCTTTCTTACGTTCACGGTCATGTTATTGTTTTGCATCCTATTCCCTCTCTCGGATTATAATGTTCATTTCTTCAGTCGATGGATTAACACACTCTGCCGTATTTACTTTGTCATCATCAAATTTTCTCTCAAGAAGATGCTTCCGCATCTTTTTCTAAAACTTCTATTAGTTAAGACTTTTATAATTTATGTCTTTCTTTTAACACATTGTAGTTTTTAGCTCTACTGATTTAGAGATCGGAAGAGCTTATGTGATAGTTGTGTTATGGTTAAGGTGGTCCTATAAGGCTTTTATTAGCATGTAGAGACAACATAAGAATGGCGTCGGTTCAATTCTTCTGTGTTCCTTCACATAATTGACGACGTAATACACAAAGGGGTCAATTCAAAACATAAAAATGATACATCTTCAAAATTGAGTTAAGAGCTACAATAAATTTCATGATAGCAAAAGATGTTAAACCTTGCATAAACTATTCTTAGGTTAATACATTAGATTCTGTTGAAAATTGGGATTTGATATGTAACAATGTAAGGAAACCTGGTACATTAACAGTTCTGTTTTGTTCTGAAACTATGTCAAAATAAAACAAAGAAATTGTCTGTGTAATGCAACTAACTAGCATTTCTAAAAAAAATAAAAAACAAACAGTACAACTTTTCCAAAATTTACATGACTGACATAGATGTTTAAGTCCTTACTCTCATACCCCATTTTCATGGTACTGATCTGACCCACAAACAAGCAAATTAAATTTCTTCAATAGCACCGATAGAAATTTACGTCATAATTTATGAATTAAAACCAGTCTCACGCTAGAGGCGCTGCTGTCAGTTCGGACAAATATAGTTATGATGGCGGCCAATTCGTTATTAGAAGAGGATATTCCCGGGGCCAAGTTTGTTCATGCGTCGGTTGAGGAACACACAAATATCCAATTAAAAAGATGGTTAAAATGTCGTGGGCTTCCTACTTCTGGAAAACGACCGGATTGAATAGAAAAGTATCCAAAATTTGATAGTGTGTAAATTTGTAAACAGCGGAAATCACGACACGGCGACTGCAAAAAAATACGTAAACAATGAATATATATAAATAATTTCGGTTATGTTTCGTGTCAATTAAACAATAAAATTATGGAAATCTACAAAAACAATCAACAAAAACACATACTTTTACCTTTTTACTATTAAATAATTTACGTAATGTTATGCCGATGCCAGAATGCTGTGAACAACAATGTCAAAATTGATGTGAAAGTTGACGATGGTAAATGGCTGAATCTGAAAAAGAAACCAACACCTGTTGCATCACAAGTTCCCTATGTCCCAATTCAAGGCTGGAAGAAGTCTCCATCTGGGTCTATACCAAAACATTTTAATCATGGGCATATCTACTATTATCTTGTGGAATTTTGTAGATAATGTTTGAAAATTTTGATAGATGCTGCCTCCCTTGTTTTTAGACTAAGGAAATTCCACTTTCTAACAGTATCAGGAATAAATGATTTATTGTAGAGTTCTAATCTGTTTGGCAAAGAATAATTTAAAGCATTACGGGTAGTGTATCCTGAAATATTGCCTCTTGTATCAGGTACTAAGTTTTGTAAGTAAGTGGGGACGAAATTATTGTGCACTTTATACATTGTTATTAGTTTTGCCCTATTTCTTCTATGTTCCAGTGGTTCCCCACCTGTTTCCAAATAAAAAGAATTTCTTGAGGCAATAATTGTAAGCCCAGTAACTATTCTTGCAGCAAGTAATTGTACTTTTTCAAGATTCTCACTGTCTGTTTTTGTGCATCCAGACCAAACTTCAACAGCATATTCAAGTTGTGTCTAATAAAAGATGTATACATCTGAGATAGAATATCTCTTGACACTGTAAATTTTAATTTTTTAAGAAGCCCCAGTTTTTAGCTCTACTGGTCAGAGACCAGAAGAGCTTATGCGATGGTAATGTGTCCGTCGTCCGTCCGTCTGTCTGTCTGTCTGTCTGTCTGTCCGTCTGTAAACAATTTTTCAAAATGCTACTCCTCCTACAGTTTTGGTCTTGATTTCAATATAACTTGGCACACAAGTAGACTACACTAAGATACATAATTCTGTGTATCGGTTTTTGATTTGGATGAATGGTGTTGCCGTGGTTACTAAAAATAGAAATTTCTGTGAAATTCTTTCAAAATGCTACTCCTCCTACAGTTTTGGTCTGATTTCAATATAAATTGGCACACAAGTAGACTACACTAAGATACATAATTCTTTATATCGGTTTTTGATTTCGATGAACGGTGTTGCCGTGGTTACTAAAAATAGAAATTTCTGTGAAATTCTTTCAAAATGCTACTCCTCCTACAGTTTTGATCTGATTTCAATATAACTTGGCACACAAGTAGACTACACTAAGATACATAATTCTGTGTATCGGTTTTTGATTTCGATGAACGGTGTTGCCGTGGTTACTAAAAATAGAAATTTCTGTGAAATTCTTTCAAAATGCTACTCCTCCTACAGTTTTGATCTGATTTCAATATAACTTGGCACACAAGTAGACTACACTAAGATACATAATTCTGTATATCGGTTTTTGATTTCGATGAACGGTGTTGCCATGGTTACTAAAAATAGAAATTTCTGTGAAATTCTTTCAAAATGCTACTCCTCCTACAGTTTTGGTCTGATTTCAATATAACTTGGCACACAAGTAGGCTACACTAAGATACATAATTCTGTGTATCGGTTGTTGATTTCGATGAACGGTGTTGCCGTGGTTACTAAAAATAGAAATTTCTGTTAAATACTCTCAAAATGCTACTCCAAATAACAGTTTTAGTCTGGTTATAATATAATGTGGCATGCAAGTAGACTACACTAAGAACATAAAGAGACTTAATCAAGGATCATTATTCTATTTATTGCTGTTGAAAAGTTTCAATTTTCAACTGCTTAAGTACTTTTCTCTTCCTTTGCTATAAGTACAAACCAGTAGAGCTTCAGTCTCGACAGAGACTTCTGGTTTGTATGCTTTCTTTATAATAAGTATCAATATGATCAGGCCATCCTAAGTTAGACGACAGAATTATCCCAAGGTGTTTATGTTCTGTAACATATTCCAACTGGCAATTGTCAAAAAATAATTTGGGAAAATGCTGTACATTTTTAGC